TGGGGAGCCCTGCTTTAGACAGTACAATAATTATTGTATCTCTGCCAGGGCTCTTTTTGTAGAAAAAGCCCAGCAGGAACTCATTAGCATAATAGCCACACCCAACAGCAGGAACTCATTAGCATATTGGGCCACACCCCTGACAGCTCATTAGCACATTAGGCCACACCCCCATGTTACCAGAAGTGTGGTCATCCAGCCACACCCACCTTTTGCTTCTTATTCTGTTTCCCTTGTTTGTTGTCAAAACCCAGGGCTTTTTTTGTAGCAGGAACTCCTTTGCATGTTAGGCCACACATCCCTAATGTAGCCAATCCTAATGAGTTCCTGCTGTTGGGTGTGGCCTGTTATGCTAATGAGTTCCTGCTGGGCGTGGCCAACTTGGGAGCCAGCCGGGACTCCGTTCCTGTGCGTTCCTGCCCAAAAATAGCCCTGATCTGCCCCCCATGAGTTTAGGAAGTACTAGAGACAGGGACTTTTTTGTGGTAGCACCTTAGCTACGAAGCTTGCTATCTAGCTGTAAGCATCAGGTGAAATCACTGTTGTTTGCGTGTGCTTTTAGTTGGCTCGTTCCACCCTCCCCCATCGTCCCCCCCCCTTGTTCCCCTAGTTGGTTTATGTATTTACTTCATTTATACCCCACCAATGGAGACCCAAGGTGGCTTACATAATTGTCCTCTCTGGCATCATTCATTCATTCATTCATTCAGATTTTTACCCCGCCGTCCCGGCCAAAGCCGGTTCAGGGCAGCTTACATAAAAACAGGTAATTAAATTAAGAACATAAGTTGCAGTTAAAACAGATTATAAAATCATACTAAAGTGCTACTAGTCGTTAAGATTCGTACAACAGTAGCAGCCAGTAACCACTGTACTGTACATTTTATCATCGCAACAACCCTGTAAAGTGGGTTAGGCTGAGAATATGTGTGACTGACCCAAGGTTCCATGGCAGCAAGTTTTCATGGTGGAGTGGGGGTTCAAAACTGGTTCTCCCAGGTCCTAGCCCACCGCTCCAACCACTATACCACACTGGGTACTGTTTATTTTTGTAGTTGTAATCAGGGCTCTTTTTGTAGAAAAAGCCCAGCAGGAACTCATTAGCATATGGGGCCACACCCATGACAGCACAGCTCATTAGCACATTAGGCCACACCCCCATGTTACCAGAAGTGTGGTCATCCAGCCACACCCACCTTTTGCTTGTTATTCTGTTTACCTTGTTTGTTGTCAAAACCCAGGGCTTTTTTTGTAGCAGGAACCCTTTGCATGTTAGGCCACACACCCCTAATGTAGCCAATCCTAATGAGTTCCTGATGTTGGGTGTGACCTATTATGCTAATGAGTTCCTGCTGGGCGTGGCCAACTTGTGAGCCAGCCGGAACTCCGTTCCTGTGCGTTCCTCCCCAAAAATAGCCCTGGTTGTTTTTATTACCTGGTTGCTGACTTTACACTTTTTACCACCCCAGAGGTGAACAGCCCTCCTCCCAGCGACTAAACTGGTGCCAAGCAAAGGCGTACTTCTTTGTCTAGGCTTTCTGGTCAACAAAGAGTCAGTCTCGCATAGTGGTTAGATTGCTGGACTGGAAAAGAGGGCAGAAGAAAAAGGCAATAGAAACAGTTTCACATACAGGCTTCTGTTTAATTTGTTATCGTTTCCGGAAGATTTGTGTAGTACGTAAGGCGCTCAGCCCAAGAGATAGGTATCTGACTCCTCGTTTCTCGTCTTTGAACTTCGGTTTAATTGCAGGTCAACGAAATCGCTTTTATAAATACTTTAGAAGCCCAGAATAAGCGTCACGACGTTCTGTCCAAGCTCAAAGATAAGCTAGTTTTCTATTTAGTAGTCCACAAATAATTGTACAATAAAATCAGGGCTAAAGTTAACAAATGAAAAACAACCAGCAGCAATAGCACATTCGGTCTGTAGGAAATGCCCCCCCCCCAAAAAAACCCCAATAATCTAGTGTTTGAAAGCTTAAGAATAAAAGAATAATTCTCTTTAGGAACGTAAAAGAGTTTTGGAAGCAGAGCGTCAAGCCCGTGTGGAAGAGTTGCTAATGAGAAGAAAAGAGCAAGAAGCTCGTATTGAGCAGCAGCGCCAGGAGAAGGAGAGGGCCCGCGAAGATGCCGCTCGCGAAAGGGCCAGGTAGCTTACTCTCATCCCTCGGACTTTGCCGTAGCGACTGCTTTTATGGCTCATGATGGGTTAGAGATATGGCTTGACTTCATATTAGTCAAATTCTGGACTTCTGCAATGTGCCCTGTGCGGGGCTTGCCCTTGAAGGCTGTTCAGAAGTTAACAGTCCAGAATACAGAAGGCAGGATTTCTGGGGTTAGCTAAATGGATATATTAAAGCCAGTCTTGGATCATGACGGTTAACGTTATGTTTTTGTGACTTTATATTTTTAGTCAAATCCTGGACTACTGCAGTGTGCCCTGTGCGGGGCTTGCCCTTGAAGGCTGTTCAGAAATTTCAGTGGGTCCGGGCTACAGCAGCCAGATTGATTCCTGGGGTTAGCCCAAATGGGTATATTAAAGCTGATGAACTTTGTAGCTGCCAGTATGCTTTCTGGATGATTTCAGAGTGCCGATTCTTACCTTTGTAGACCAAGATACATGACAGAGCACTTTCTTTTTTGTGTTCCATCCCACCATCTGCCATTCATCTCTCCTGATACTAGGCTGGTGAACATCACTGAATATACTATTCTCAGGAATGGCTCTCGGTTTAAAGTAGTTTGTTACAGCTAGGTCCTCAGTCTTTTTGAAGAGAGCCCCGGTAACTCATTGGTCCACCCTGTTTCTTAACAAATAGGGTACCTTCTGATTGGTTTTGCTTTTATTTCGTATCTTCGTTTAAGTGAATTGTTTAGGGGGGAGTTCTTTACAGTTAGCCTTGTATGCATGTCTCTTTGAGAGCGTTGCTAACTGAAAACGAAGAAGCCTTCTAAATTAAGTATATTACCCACAGTCTGGTGTAGTGGTTAAGAGTGGCAGGGCCCCACACTGGGGACCCTAATCTGGAGAACCGGGTTTGCTTCCCCACTCCTCCTCCACATGAAGCCAGCTGGGTGACCTTGGATCAGTCACGGTTCTCTCACTCAGCCCCACCTACCTCATAGGGTGTCTGCTGCGGGGAGAGGAAGGGAAGGTGATTGTAAGCCGCTCGGAGACTCCTTTTGGTAGTGAAGGGTGAGGTATAAAACCAACTCTTCTTCTTAAGACATTTAATCACAGTCATAAAGGGTTAGAACAGCTTTTCTGCTCAATCACAACTAAGTTTCCTGCTTCATTGAAGGCTCCCCATCCCGCATGGCTTTTGTCCACACGGGGTCACCTAATTCCCAAAGCACAAGTCGTGTAGTGTTAGATCCTACCAGCTTTTCCACTCAACCGCAGTCAGTTTCCCTCTTCGTTGAATGCTCCCGTCCCACGTGGCTTTTGTCCACATGGGATCACCTGATTCCTGAAACCCAACTCATGTACCGTTGGATCCTGCCATTTTTTTCCACTCAAGTCACATCTGGTTTCCCTCTTCGTTGAAGGTCCCCATCCAACATGGCTCTTGTCCACACGGGGTCACCTGGTTCCCAAAGCACAAGTCATGTAGAGTTGGATCCTACCAGCTTCTCCATTCAGTTGCAACTGGTTTCCCTCTTCGTCCACATGGGACCCCACCTCATTTCTTTTTTTTAAAATAGTTTATTTAGCTTTTTCCATAACAAACAATAACACAAGATTATATCCATTTACATCATATTTTGGAGTTTCTTTATCCATTTTTTCCCCAACCAACTATCCACTTTCTGCCATCTTTTATTAAACACATTTTCATCTTTTCCCGACAAAATCATATTTACTTTGTCCATTTCTTTTATTTCTATAATTCTTGTTATTCATTCTCCTCTACTTGGAATTTTATCTGACTTCCAATGGGACCACCTCATTTCTGAAGCCCAAGTCATCTAGGGTTGGATCCTGCAAGCTTTTCCACTCTATCACATCTGGTTTCCCTCCTAAGGCCCCCATCCCATATGGTTTTTGTCCACACGGGATCACCCAATTCCTGATCACTACGATCCTGTCTTACCAACAGGGAGCCGTTGTGCAGAGCACCAAGTGGAAAAGTTGAAGCAAACCAGCCAGCACTTAGCTGGAGAACGTGGGCTGAACATGCACAACAGTGAGCCGCTCAGTACTTTAAGTAGGGAACAGCCATGCTTGTGATGCTAGGATGAGCACTAACCATCTGGAAGAATTCTGCCCTGTTGGGAATTACATCCCCACCTTTGGGGTGGGGGGGAAGTGTCCCGGAATACGTGCTCTTGTTTTTTTCAGCGAGACGTAAATAGCAGGGAAAGTTTCACACATCCATAGTGGCAATTAAGGCCCTGTTACGAAAGGATTAAAATCCGTGAAGCTGCCAGCTTGGATTCCTTCTGCCCTGATGGCGCATCGAACTCGATTATTGGAAATGTCTTGCATGTTATTTGTGAACGGCTTGAGTTTCAAAGAACAGGCGTGCAGAATTTTGCAGCATTTAGCTGCCTCTGTTCATGCAGCCTGACTATAAAGGTTAGGAGATTGCCACTATTTAATTAGCCTCTTCCCATAGATAGATAGATAGATAGATAGATAGATACAGGGCTATTTTTGGGCAGGAACACACAGGAACGGAGTTCCGGCTGGCTCCCAAGTTGGCCACGCCCAGCAGGAACTCATTAGCATAATAGGCCATACCCAACAGCAGAAACTCATTAGGATTGGCTACATTATGGCCTAACATGCAAAGGAGTTCCTGCTACAAAAAAGCCCTGGGTTTTGACAACAAACAAGGTAAACAGAATAACAAGCAAAAGGTGGGTGTGGCTGGATAACCACACTTCTAGTAACATGGGGGTGCAGCCTAGTATGCTAATAAGCTGTGCTGTCAGGGGTGTGGCCCAATATGCTAATGAGTTCCTGCTGTTGGGTGTGGCCTATTATGCTAATGAGTTCCTGCTGGGCTTTTTCTACAAAAAGAGCCCTGGGCACTTTAGTGCCTGGCTTCATCCTGTACCAGTTGAGATGTGGCATGTCTGGAGAGGAGAGGCACAGCAATGCCTGTGTGGGTTGTTTTTTGTAAAACATTTTCGTGTGTGAGTGTGTGCACCTGGAAGTCATGGTGACCTCTGGTAACTGACCCCTACTGGGAGCCTGGAGGATATCCAGAGAGGTGGCTGAATAAAGCCTGCCCCTGCCTCCCACCTCTGATATTCCAAGGAGGTCTCCCATCCAAGTGCTTGCCAGAGTGGACACTGCTTAGCTTCCAAGATCTGATGAGACCGGGCTTGCCCGGCCTACCCAGGTCAAGGCTGCAATGCCTGTTTTTGACTTGCTAGCTTGCGTGAGGTACAACTGATGTGGAGGAGAGTGGTGGCACCTTCTTTCTCTCTAGGTAGGTAGGTAGGTAGGTAGGTAGATAGATAGATAGATAGATAGATAGATAGATAAAAATCAGTTGTTTCTCCTGTTACTAAAATGAAAACAAATGGCGTGTATCCAGCCACCCACGCTCAGAAGTTTTCCTGTGTCCCTCTTCATTTCTGCAGCCCTTTCTGATCCCAGGAAAGATAATTTCTGGGACCGCAGGATCTATATGGAGGAGTGTGTGCGTGTTAAGTGCCCGTCAAAAATCAGTTGTTTCTCCTGTTACTAAAATGAAAACAAATGGCGTGTATCCAGCCACCCACGCTCAGAAGTTTTCCTGTGTCCCTCTTCATTTCTGCAGCCCTTTCTGATCCCAGGAAAGATAATTTCTGGGACCGCAGGATCTATATGGAGGAGTGTGTGCGTGTTAAGTGCCCGTCAAGCTGCTTTTGACTTATGGCAACCCCATGAATTAAATGTTCTCCAAAATGCCCTGTCACTAGCAGCCATTCTCAGGTCTTGGAAACCGAGGGCCTTTGTGGCTTCCTTCATTAAACCCATATGTGTTGGACTGAGTGTTGGACTGGATGGGCCATTGGCCTGATCCAACATGACATGTCTTATGTTCTTATGTCGGGTCTTCCTCTTTTCCCGCTGCCTTCAGCTTTTCCTAGCATGATTGCCTTTTCCAGTGACTCTCGTTTCCTCATAATGTGACCAAAGCACAACAGCCTCAGTGTAGCCATTTTAGCTTCTAGGGAGAGTTCTGGCTCGATTTGACCTAGAACCCATCAATTTGTCTTTTGGGCAGTCCACAAAACTCTCCTCCGCCACCACCGTTCGAAGAATCTACTTTCTGCCCGTCTGCTTTCTTCTCGGAGGAGTAATCAGTCTTTATGGCCCACGAACCATACAGAAGCAGAGCGAGCAACGTATTAATTCATTCACCTGAAATCATATCTTAACACACATCATTCAGTCCTCCTCTGCCTTCTCCGTCATCATGTGTACATTTTGGAAAAGATTTTTATTCTCCTTGTAAAAGCATCCATGCTTTTCAGAATCAATGAGATTGAATGTTCTGACCTCAGGCTTTAGCTGGTCTTCCCAAGTGTCAGGACTCAACCTGCAGGTGATCACTGAGCAGGGTCTCAGCTTCAGGAGCAGTCAAGGACTGGGCAGCAAAGTTCTGGAGCACAGAAGTTCTGAAGCACAGAAGCAGACAGGCTCTAGAGCCAAATCTAGAGTGTTGGACTGGATGGGCTATTGCCTGATCCAACATGGCTTCTCTGGTGTTCTTATGTCTGGGGCAGTGATGTTCTGTATTCTTGGTGCTTGGGAGGGGCAACAGTGGGAGGGCTTCTGGAGTTCTGGCCCCACTGGTGGACCTCCTGGTGGCACCTGGGTTTTGGCCACTGTGTGACACAGAGTGTTGGACTGGATGGGCCATTGGCCTGATCCAACATGACATGTCTTATGTTCTTATGTCTGGGGCAGTGATGTTCTGTATACTTGGTGTTTGGGAGGGGCAGCAGTGGGAGGTCTTCTGGAGTTCTGGCCCTGCTGGTGGACCCTCCTAATGGCACCTGGGTTTTGGCCACTGAGTGACACAGAGTGTTGGACTGGATGGGCCATTGGCCTGATCCAACATGGCTTCTTCTATATTCTTATGTCTTGGGCAGTTATGCTGTATTCTTGGTGCTTGGGGGGCAACAGTGGGAGGTCTTCTGGAGTTCTGGCCTCGCTGATGGACCTCCTGATGGCACCTGGGTTTTGGCCACTGTGTGACACAGAGTGTTGGACTGGATGGGCCATTGGCCTAATCCAACATGGCTTCTCTTATATTTGTATGTCTTGGGCAGTGATGCTGTATTCTTGGAGCTTGGGGGGCAACAGTGGGAGGTCTTCTGGAGTTCTGGCCCTGCTGGTGGACCTCCTGATGGCACCTGGGTTTTGGCCACTGTGTGACACAGGGTGTTGGACTGGATGGGCCATGGCCTGATCCAACATGGCTTCTCTTATGTCCTTACCTTGAAAGACAGTGACTTCAAGTATTTGTTGGGTTTTTGCATTTTGATTCCCAAATTTAGATCCTGGGAAGAACACTCTTAGTCACCCTCACTGGTAAAACACTTTCTATGCTCTCAAGGATTTACCATGTATCTACCGCCAGAGATATCCGTTGTCACAAATTGGCACTATTACAATAAACAGGGACATTGCCGCAGGCAGGGTGTCAAGCTAAGATTTGTTTCTCTTCAATATCCGCTTGCCATAATATTGGAGGGGGGAGGGAATTCCTGAGGGAAGTGCATGGGTTGTTTGGAGTGAATGCTTGTAGGAACCATAACCATGCTGTGACCCAGCACCGGTTCCCAAGGCAGTTGGCCTTGGAGTCTTCTCTGCCAGGCTAGGATGTAGATAAGGCGCCGTATATCTGTCAGGGTTGCCATCGTGACCTAGGGGCTGGATGATGACGTATGCATGAGATGTGGGATGTTGTTTGCCTTACTTATAACCAGTGTTCCCTCTAAGCTGAGTTAGTGTGAGCTAGCTCACAGCTTTTTAGCCTCCAGCTCACGGATTTTTATCTTAGCTCAGGAAGCATGGCTTCAGAGCAATCTAATTTATGCAGTAGCCAAATCGCTCGCTCACAATTTTAATGCCAGTAGCTCACGAATTAGAATTTTTGCTCACAAGACTCCACAGCTTAGAGGGAACATTGCTTATAACTGGGAATTTTTTGCGCCTTTCGTTAGTTCTGACACAGAGACCGTTTCCTAAAGTAAGCATAATCTCAATAAACTACCACTGCTTGAGCGTGTTGTGGAGAGTGTCTCAAGTGGGAGACCTGACACGGGGTAAGCAGGCTGGGCATCTTAAAAGCAGACAGAGGGTCTATGTTTCCACGATAGAACACATGCTTGGCATGCAGAAAGCCCAAGGTCCAGTCCTTGGCATTCCAGTTAAAAGATCTCAGATGTGGTCTACACCTGTAACGCAAGGAGGTGGTGGTAGAATCCTGAGTTGGTCAAGTGCACGATAAAGACTGATGTTTTCTGTACGTTCTCTCACATTTTTTTTAAAAAAATGATCTGCGAGTAAACATTCCGTCTGTTTAGAACTGGTTTGAATTCGTTCTTTGTATTCAGCTTTTCAACACGGTACTTCTTGTTTTGGTAGAGATCGAGAGGAGAGGTTAGCCGCCCTGACGGCCGCCCAGCAGGAGGCCATGGAAGAACTCCAGAAGAAGATCCAGCTGAAGGTGTACCCAGGGAGGAGGAGAATGTGGAGACTGCGAGAAAGACAGAGAGGAGTGAAGTAACTCGTACTCGTCTAGCAGTACACATGGCTGAAAGAGAGTGTGAGTGAACTCTCAAACGGCAGCTCTGAAGGGAACCAAGGCTGATGAGCTTCGTAACATCACACTGGACCGAATCCATGACCCAAGTGTACCCCTTCGGCAACAGAAGGCTGACACAAAGTGATATCGGGGGACAGTCTAGAGCTGTTTAGTACAAACAGACCCCAGTTTCAAGGCAGACGAAAAGTGCCGGCAGAGTATACTAAGCACTCATCTGGCCTCCCTGATCTTCCACGTTTGCTGAAATTTCTCTGGCTTTCAATTTTGATTACCATTATCCTTTCCAGTTAGGATTGCCGTCCCCCCGATAGGGGCATGGTTTTCCCCAATTTCCACCCCCTGATCCGCCTACCATCCGGCTGCTGGCGGGGGGCGCCCCTCCCCCCAAGAGCTCCCCAATGACCAACATGCTTGGTACGATGATGTCACCCAGATGTGATGTCATCGCGCTGGGGGGGATGTTTTAGATTCGGCCAAAAACGATGGTCGCAAGGTAAGGAGCCTCCATCCCCCCGTCGGCACAAGGTAGAAGAAGAGATTGGATTTATACCCCGCCCTTCACTACCCAAAGGTGTCTCAGAGCGGCTTACAAACTCCTTTCCCTTCCCCTCCCCACAATAGACACCCTGTGAAGTAGGTGGGGCTGAGAGAGCTCTTGACAGAAACTGCTCTTTTTCAAGAACAGCTCTTATCAGAACTACGGCTTGCCCAAGGTCATCCAGCCAGGTGCAAGTGGGGAATCAAACACGGTTCTTCCAGATTAGAGTCCACGTACTTAACCACTACACCAAACTGGCCAGGTAGGGACCTGGCAACCCTATTTCTAGTGGTTTTGTAACACAGGGAAAATAGGGACCTTGGCTCGCTTAGTCCTTGAATGCCCTTTATTTAGGGAAGATAGAGATGGATAACCCCATTGTTAGAAAAGGATGAGTTTATGAGCAACAATCAAAGTTTCTCCTTCCTTCTGAAGGATAAGGATCCAAATATTATTAAGTCCTTGGCCTCTTGTCTTTTAGTAAATCAGCATAAAATAAATATTAAACAACTTTTATAAATAGGGTGGGCTTTGAAAGGAAAAGGGAGAATTTCATTTATTTATTTTAAATAGCATGTTTACAATGAAGGCTATGACCGGTAAAGCTGTACCATTGAAGCAAGGAAGGGTGGCATTTATTCTTTCTGCCATTGTGGAGCTTCATTTAAATACTCTTCTGGCCACGGTTTATATATTCTCAAACACAATAGCTCAAAAGTGCGACAGATGGTCCCTTCATTAGCTAGTAGAAAAGAGCAAGAGTCCAGTACCACTTTAAAGATTAACAAAATATGTGGCCAGGTAGGAGCTTTTGTGAGTCAGTGCTCAATTCCTCAGTTTCCTATTTATTGGAAACTGGAGTGATTTCAGATGCCGAACGACATTAGCAGGCAAACAGCAATAGCAGGCGTGATTAGATTTAGGTGAGATATGCAGAGGGGTAATAGGTGTGGAGAAATCAGCATTGGTAACGAGACAGGAAACCTAGGTCTCGATTCGGTCCAGGTGGATGTATCGTCTTGAGCTTCATTATCATTTGCAATTCAGCACTTGCTAGTACGAGTCCAGAGGGAGCCATGGCAACTGTGCAGATCTTCTCAATGACAATACAGATACAGATTGCTAGATGTGCACATCTGTCTAGCAGTAGATACTCTTAGATTTGCTGGTGGCAATGGTTGCTACTCAGAGAGGTTAGGTACCCCCCCTTGGAAGTAAGGAGAAGGGATGATGTCACATTGGACAACCATGGGGCTTTTCTGACCTTCCAGAACCAAGAGGGAACGGGGCCTACGAGTTCCACTCCTTCTGGAACCATTTGGGAACCCTTTGAAAGGTGTCTTTGAGGAATTTAAAATAGCTTGATTAGTTAGTTCTAGGGTTTTTGCAAGTGTGTCATTTCTGGTATCGGTACTTGATGTCCGGTCGAGGACAGCAGTGTGGCGGTCCCACTTCTTGTCACTTCTGTGTCCTTATTCGGGTTTCTTCGGTTGTACCCAGCATGACGAGAGCATCCGAAGGCACATGGAGCAGATAGAGCAGAGGAAAGAAAAGGCCGCTGAGCTGAGCAGCGGAAGACACGCGAACACCGACTACGCCCCAAAACTGACGCCATACGAGCGGAAGAAGCAGTGTTCGTTGTGCAACGTCTTGGTAAGGTTACTGTTGCAAAGGGAATGTGTAGGGACTCAGGGCTATTTTTGGGCAGGAACGCACAGGAACGGAGTTCCGGCTGGCTCCCGAGTTGGCCACGCCCAGCAGGAACTCATTAGCATAATAGGCCACACCCAACAGCAGGAGCTCATTAGGATTGGCTACATTCGGGGGGTGTGGCCTAACATGCAAAGGAGTTCCTGCTACAAAAAAAGGCCCTGGGTTTGGACAACAAACAAGGTAAACAGAATAAGAAGGGAAAGGTGGGTGTGGCTGGATGAGCACACTTCTGGTAACATGGGGGTGCGGCCTAATGTGCTAATGAGCTGTGCTGTCAGGGGTGTGGCCCAATATGCTAATGAGTTTCTGCTGTTGGGTGTGGCCTATTATGCTAATGAGTTCCTGCTGGGCTTTTTCTACAAAAAGAGCCCTGTGTAGGGTACTCGATACTTTGTGATTCTGGGGATGAGTGGAATGCTGGAGAAGTAGGGAAGGGACGTGGCTTAGTGGTAGAGCCTCTGCTTTGCATGCAGAAGGTCCCAAGTTCAATCCCCGGCATCTCCACTGGTGGACCTCCCGGTGGCACCTGGGTTTTGGCCTCTGTGTGACACAGAGTGTTGGACTGGATGGGCCACTGGCCTGATCCAACATCGGCTTATGTTCTTCATATCACCTGAGCCATGAATTCATTATGTGGTGTTAGGCAGGCCCATATTCAGCATGCCCCTGTCTATGATGTAGAGGGGATACAAATGCCTGCCAGGTGTTTTTAGAAAGTGGGCAGGGCCGAGTGGGGCTTTTGCCCAGCAAGGCTTCTGATTGGCCGTCGGAGATTTCATTGGCTGTGCAGACGTTGCTTTCGTCACCGTGTGACTGAAGGTAAGTTGCGGCAGCCGTTTTGTGGCTGGCTCTGCTTCCCGTGGAAGCCGTTTTGTGGCTGTGCCCACCGTGCGATGTCAGAAGTCCAAAGGTGCCCAAGCCCGGGACCCACTGCTGTAGGGTTTTCAAGGCAACCGACGAACAGTACTCGTTTGATATTGCCTTCCTTTGCGTAGCAACCCTGGACTTCCTTGGCTGCCTCGCATCTAAGGACCAACCCCGCTGAGCTTTCAAGATCTGATGAGATTGGGCTGGTGTTATGTATTAGGTCTAGAACATTTCAGGACTATCCACCAGAGACTGGCTGAGCTTGAAGCTCTAGAACAATAGCCCACCAGGACTCTGGAAGTGACCAATGAGAAACTAATGTGTCCTTCCACAGCTGCAAGTGTCCTTCCACAACTGGAAAAGACTGATCCAATTACCTTATTTATTTTACTGTTATGTAAATAGCCTATTGTTGGGAGTTGGGTGTGTTTGGTTGTGGGTTTTGCGTGCTATTTAAAAGGGTGTTGCCCTGGTGTTTCAGTCTTGTTCCTGAAATCACTTAATAAAGTAGAGCTGTTCACTGCAATGCGTCTCGAACCCAGTACTTCACAGCTAGCCTGGGCCATCCAGGTCGTATGCTAACAAAAAGGAAGGGAAGGGGGAAGGGGAAAAAGGGGGGGGGGAGAAAACTCAACCCAAAAAGTTGCTATGGATCCACAAGGGTTAAGCTTGTGGGCCTCCAGTTTAGCCAAATAAAGCCCACCAATAATTCTGGTATGGTGATGGTATTCCAGCTGAGCTATTCAAAGTCTTAGAAGAGGATGCTGTTAAAGTTCTGCACTCCATTTGCCAGCAAATTTGGAAAACGCAACAGTGGCCACAGGATTGGAAAAGATCAGTATACATTCCAATCCCAAAGAAGGGCAATGCCAAGGAATGTTCAAACTATCGCACAATTGCACTCATATCACACGCTAGCAAGGTCATGCTCAAGATCCTACAAGCTAGGCTTCAACAGTACGTGGATAGAGAACTACCAGAAGTACAAGCTGGGTTTCGAAGAGGTAGAGGAACTAGAGATCAAATTGCCAACATTCGCTGGATTATGGAGAAAGCAAGAGAGTACCAGAAAAATATCTACTTCTGCTTCATTGACTATGCTAAAGCTTTTGACTGTGTGGATCACAACAAACTATGGCAGGTCCTTAAAGAGATGGGAGTACCAGACCACCTCACATGTCTCTTGAGAAACCTGTATAAGGGCCAAGAAGCGACAGTTAGAACCGGATACGGAACAACTGATTGGTTCAGCATAGGAAAAGGAGTACGACAAGGATGTATACTGTCACCTTGCTTATTTAATATATATGCAGAGTACATCATGCGAAATGCTGGCCTGGATGAATCACAAGCGGGAATTAAGATTGCTGGGGAAAAGATCAATAACCTCAGATATACAGACAATACCACTCTGGTGGCAGAAAGTGAAGAGGACCTTAAGAGCCTCTTGCTCAGGGTAAAAGAGGAGAGCGCAAAAGTGGGCTTGAAGCTCAACATCAAAAAAACTAAGATCATGGCATCCGGCCCCATCACTCCTTGGCAAATAGAAGGGGAAGTCGTGGAAGTAGTGACAGACTTCACGTTCCTGGGATCCCAGATCACCGCAGACTGTGACTGCAGCCATGAAATTAAAAGACGCCTGCTCCTTGGGAGGAAAGCGATGGCGAACCTAAACAGCATGATAAAAAGTAGAGACATCACCCTGCCAACAAAAGTCCGCATGGTCAAAGCAATGGTATTCCCAGTAGTCATGTATGGCTGCGAGAGTTGGACTATAAGGAAGGCCGAGCGCCGAAGAATAGATTCTTTTGAACTATGGTGCTGGAGGAGACTCTTGAGAGTCCCTTGGACTGCAAGAAGAACAAATCAGTCAATCCTAAAAGAAATCAACCCTGACTGTTCCCTGGAAGGCCAGATAATGAAACTGAAGCTCAAATACTTTGGCCACCAAATGAGAAGGGAGCACTCACTGGAGAAGACCCTGATGCTTGGAAAGATTGAAGGTCAAAGAAGACGGGGACGGCAAAGGATGAGATGGTTAGACAGTGTCATCGATGCAACGAACATGAAGTTGAGCCAACTTCAGAGGACGGCAGAAGATCGGAAGGCCTGGCGAGAGCTCGTCCATGGGGTCGCGAAGAGTCGGACTCGACTGTACGACTGAACAACAACAACAAGTTTTAAAATGTGTACACCTGAATAAATTTTGCATTTTTATAATATTTAGAGTCAGCTTAACCCTTGTGGATCCATACCATCCAGGTCGTAGCCTTACTTAATCATCCTCTCCGGAAGATGTTTGATTTATTTATTTGACTGTTGTAAGCTGCATGTAGAGACTTAGTAGACTGTGCTTTGTTTTCCTAGATTTCCTCGGAGGTCTATCTTTTCAGCCACATTAAAGGGAAAAAACATCAACAAGCGGTGAGAGAGAACAGCAGTATCCAAGGGAGGGAACTTTCGGATGAAGAAGTGGTACGTGCTAATATATATATTTTCATTCCTCTCCCCCCCCCCACCCCCGGTACTATCTTTGCAAAATAGTAAAAAGCCCAGGAGCACCTTTAAGACTAACAAATTTTATTGCCGCATAAGCTTTTCAGAAACACAGTTCTCTTCATCAGATGCATGGAGGTTATGAAGACACTGGCCAGAGATACGTAGGTGGCAAGGGGAGGGGAGGATGCAGAAAGTGCCATGTAAATAATGTCGAGACAGTGTGTGGCTGCAATAAAGAAGGCCAATGCTATGCTGGGGATTATTAGGAAGGGTATTGAAAACAGATCAGCCAATATCATAATGCCCCTATATAAATCAATGGTGAGACCTCATTTGGAATACTGTGTGCAGTTCTGGGCACCACACCTTAAAAAGGATATTATAGCTTTGGAAAAAGTGCAGAAAAGGGCAACTCGAATGATAAAAGGGTTGGAACACTTTCCCTATGAGGAAAGGTTAAAGCACTTAGGGCTCTTTAGCTTGGAGAAAAGACGACTAAGGGGTGACATGATCGAGGTTTATAAGATTATGCATGGGAAAGAGCAGGTAAAGAAAGAGGTACTTTTCTCCCTTTCTCACAATACAAGAACCCGTGGGCACTCCATGAAATTGCTGAGCGGTCGGGTTAGAACGGATAAAAGGAAGTACTTCTTCACCCAAAGAGTGATTAACACATGGAATTCACTGCCACAGGAAGTGGTGGGTGCTACAAGCATGGACGGCTTCAAAAGGCTCTGGGGCAAGTGATGTTCTGTCATCTTGGTGCTTGGGGGGGGGGGTCAACAGTGGGAGGGCTTCTAATGTCCTGGCCCCACTGGTGGACCTCCTGATGGCACTGGTATTTCTGGCCACTGTGGGATACAGAGTGTTGGACTGGATGGGCCTTTGGCCTGATCCAACATTGGCATCTCTTATGTTCTTATATTCTTAAGGCCGTTACAAAAGTCATGAAAAAGGTGGGGGGACTGTCTGTCGGCAAGGAGAGGTCTTCCACCCAGGGCTTGTGAAAGTGAGGCATCATTCGCACGACGCTTTCTGCATCCTCTCCCCCCTCTCCTCACCACCGCTCCTGTGCGCTCCTGCAGCAAATGACCCCTGCACCAAAAACATAAAAACGTTGGTTAGATAGGAGGGATCATAGAGGGAAAGCTAAATGAAACAAAACAGCCTGCACCCGCTGGCAAAAGGCAGCAACAGAAGGGGGCAGACAGAGTTCTGGAGCCTTGGTGCCATGACCGAAGAGGCCCTCTCCTGGGCTGCCACCCACCTAATCTCTGAAACCGGGGGCATCCAAATTATGCCCTTCCAAGATGGCTGTATTGGTCAGGCGGGTTCTTGGGGAGTAGGGTGTCCTTCAGATATGTTCGTCCCAAACCATACAGGGCTTTGCAGGAAAAATCCTCTAACCAACTTTGCTGTGTTCATTGGAATTGGGAAGATCTGTACTTCTCGTCCTTTTGCTCCTCTTTGGCTTCCAAAGAGCCCGAGAAAGAACCGATGGGGGGCAAGCTTATATTTCCCAAGGACCTGCGCTGTTTTATCAGTCTCTCCCACACGTTTCTATCCTACCCTTCTTCCAAGTTGCACAAATCAGTGTGCACGATTCTCCCTTGCTCACTTTATCCTCACTACAACCCTACGAGGGTAGGTTAGGCTGTGACAGAGTGGCCGTCTACATGGGTGCAGATTTGAATCCAGGTCTCCTAGTCCACTCCTGCCAACCTAGCAGTTTGAAAGCAAGAAATTGCAAGTAGATGAATAGGTACCGCTTCGCTGGGAAGGTAACAGCATTCCGTGTGCCTTGGCATTTAGTCATGCTGGCCACATGACCACAGAGAAGTCTTCGGACAGCGCTGGCTCTTCGGCTTGGAAACGGAGATGAGCACTGTCCCCTAGAGTCGGATTCAACTGGCTTTTGAGCAAGAGAAACCTTTACCTTTACTTCTAGTCCAGCCCTCTAGCCAGTGGTGACACAGTGGTCTTTTTCCCCATTTTTTAATAAAAGTTTATTGAAAATTGTAAAAAAATTATAACAATCAGAACATCAATATTAGAATTACAACAATAATACAATATTACACCAACAGCATCTTAAGACAGCAGTCTTTAAACAACCTGTAAGCAATACATACAAAACGAATGCAACTATTACCAAGCAATTTTAGGAAAATGCAGTCTAAATAGCACAACTTTCAAGCTAAAAAGTATATGTAAGAATATGATTATAGTACTTCTATTCCACATCACTTCAGAGGAGAGACAATATATAATGGTGCTGTTGTTCCAGACCATAATTTTTCAACTGCAAATCCTGGGCTGTGAAATCCAAAAAGGGAAACCATTTTTCGGTTAGCTTAGAAAGACCAAGATGAGGTTCAGATGGGGAGACGGAATCTCCAATTTTATCCATTATTAAAAAAAAAAATCCCAGACTATGGTTGGTAAAGATGGATTTTTCCATTTCACCCATGGTGCATCACCCCAAGGGATGCACATGACAGGACAAGTGTTGTTTAATGCTCACAAGAGTGCTGTGTGTTGCTGCACCTCTGGGTCGTCTGGTTTTGCTCGTATCTCAGTAGCATCAAAGCAAACCACTAGCTCAGAGGTCCCCATCTTTTTGATCCTGTGGGCACCTTTGGAATTCTGACAAAGGGTGTTGGGCGCAGCCACAAAATGGCTGCAACAGGAGGCGGAGCCACAAACGGGGGAAGCCCAAGTGCACGGGAGAAGAGGGGCAATTTAAAAAAAAATACACTGGGGAAGAGGAGCGAGAGAGAATGAAACCAATACCGGTGGCAGCTGCCTCTGGGAAAACATTATTTTAATCTGCACCACCAATCAGATCTCCAGTGGCCCCTTAGAAGCCCTGCTAAGCAAGAGCCCCAAATTACCAATCCACTTCTAAAAATACTTGGCGGGCACCAGGAAGTGTGTCGCCAGGCACCATAGTGCCTCGGGCATCACACTGGAAACTCCCGCACTAGCTGTTCGGTTCATCAAACTTTCTGTTTTCAGTAGGAGAGTTTTTAAAACACCAGTTCGTCGAACTTTCTGTTTTCGGTAGCGGAGTGTTTTTTTGAGCGGTTTTTAAAGCATCAGTGGGCCTAAATGCGACGGGCTGATAGGATTTATTTTTAATTCTGTGCACTGGGCAATATTTGCACTTGTTTCCAAAGAAAACACAAATGGCTTTGATAGTTTTATTTTTACCTGTGTTTTTGAAAATTACGTATGTTTGAATGAGGTTTCCACTTGTCGCAGGGGTTCCATTTTATATTTAATCAATGGAGGTACCTGCAGTGAACACACTTAAAGTTATTACTTGTCATTTCTGACGTCTTTATATTAAATGGCCCTTCTCCTTTTGACGTATAAGATTTTATTTATACCACCTCTGACCTAATAAAATTTCACCTTTGGCCTTCTGCACTTGACACTTTAGATAACATACACTTGATCTTTGACACATTTTGTTGTGAGCTCAGCCCGAATAATGGCTGCTTGTCTGGAGAGAAAGCTTTCTTGAATAGAAACCTCACCCCAAGGTTTTCGTTTTTCTTTTCTTTTTAAGCTGCCACAAGAACTAGTAAAATTTGCTTGCCACGGATTACTGGAAAATCCCGTTGGCAAAAATTTATCTGTGTTTACTTCATTTGTAGACTGTCTCGCTGAGATTAAAGGCAGATTACACAATTAAAGCAATGCAGTAAGAACAGCGTAAAATACAACTGTGAATAAAACTGGATTACAAACACAGAGAGAGCAGTGCACCAAAAACACTATAATATGTGCGATGTAACTGTATAGTGTTTACAAACAAGGCAACAGAGCCGGATGTCAACATTTCCGAACAATTCAGTAACTAAAATGCAATTTTAAAACCTTTGTAATACACAAGAGAAGTGAAAACTGCCTAAAATTTCTCAGATGTTGACAATACCCTCCCAGAAAGCCAGCATGGGGGTAGTGGTTAGAGTGTCAGACTACGATCTGGAAGACCCAGGTTCGAGTTCTCATTCTGCCATGGAAGCTCGCTGGGTGACCTTGGGCCAGTCACACACTCAGGCGAACCTACCTCACATGATTGTTGTGAGGATAAAATGGAGAAGAGGAGAATGATGCAAGCCATCTTGGGTCCCCACTTGGGAGAAAGGAGGGGTACAAATAGGGTTGCCAGGTCTATCTTCCACCCCCAGCGGGGGACTTTGGGGGTGTTCCTGGAGGGGGTGGGGCATCCCCAACATGATGACGTCACGTTGGGGGACATCTGCGGCCCCCCACCCACCCACCCGTGCGCTGGATCTCCAGAAACGGCAGTTCCCTGCATTTAAAGTAGCCGGCAGCCAGCGTTTCCCCTTTAAGAGCAGCTGCGTTTCCCTTTTAAGAACGAAACTGGCTTTTCCCTGCAAGCTTGCAGAGTTCGCGCTTGGGTTGAAACATGGGTTGCACACACTTAAAGGGAGAGAGATGGGTGTCTGTGGGTGTTGGGGGTGGGAATCCCCTCAAAAAACGGGGGACCTCTGGCAAACCGGGGGGTTTGGCAACCCTAGGTACAAATGAAGTAAATATACACATAAATAAAAGCCCAGGAGACTCCCCAGTCAAAGTTAACTGCGTTAGAAACTGTCCTAAAAAACTCTTAGGAATCAAAATCATAGTTGCAGCATTAGAAACCATTCAGTAATGTTGCTTTCGTATTGTACAGATTGGATCGTTTTACTGCCAGGAGAACATCAGGGAATCTCTCATGAAAACGTTTAGCTAGGTAAATCGTGGGAGGCTGATTTTGTATGTAGGCTGAAACAGGCGTGTAGTTGTGCTGGGGCTTTTGGAGGCTCTCTCCCTTTTCTTAAAGGCACAGCGCCAGAAGAATTTCTCCTGGAAATGCTTTTTTCACTCATTTTTAAACATTTTTTAAAGGTGTGCACTCCTTTAAGCAGACTGGGGTGCCGTAGTTGACTGATGCCTGCACT